CAAGGTTCCTTATGAAGCTCAAGTGATATTACCCATGATTCATTGGGAATGCAAAACCAAGTTACCAGCAGTCAGTGCAGTGTAAAATTCAATGATTGCCCAGGCAACACAATAAATTACATCAGTCTGAAAAAAAACCTGTGTTATATAAAAACCTGTCTAACCACATTTTCCATATTGATAAATATTTAAAATACATCTCTGTGAATTAAACAGTCTTCACATCCCATAATGATTTAGATTAAAAGAATTGTTAATACTTTACTGATTTGTTCCATTAGAAGCACACATCGACCAAAAAACGCATTTTTAGTATAATATCAGTTCATTAAAATATTATTTATTTTGACCATAGACTCACCTCTGTAAAATGTGTAAATATGTGCACTACCAATAGAGCAATCAGTGTACATGAAGAACAAATGGATCAAATGATGAAAAGTATTTCACAGTAATGTGATTCATTTCAACTAAATTTCAGATTAGCATGTGTTTTCACAATCAATACTGAATCATAGTTTCATGATTATTAACAAATTTGTCAATACAAAACAAAGCGCTATTATGATGTAAATGACAAAACTGGGTACAAAATCGATACACTTTAACGATAAACATTAATACATTTGAATATCTCAAAATAATTATTAATATACATATACTTTGTAAGAAATTAAAGTTGATTCTAATATTGATATGGAGCTAAGCATATCCCCTGTCACAATTAAAGGCTGGCACAGCTGCTATCGAGTACCCAGGCTTTAGGCTTTCACCAGCATTTAAAAATAATCATCCTTATTATTGGTCAATGTTCAACAATAACGATGGTTTGCAAGCACAATTTAATGATTTTTTTCAAAAAAAGTTCTCCAGAAATGTTTTTCTCATTTTTTTACATCTAGTGAAACATGAATAAAATATTTACAGACACAAATTTGTCAAAATTATATTTGACTGCATTGCACATCTTGGCAACACTGAAAAGAAGCATCAGAGCCAAAATATACAAAATATATACAAAGAATTGAGAGTAGACTTGCATTATATCCATGGATACACATTTCCATATCAATAAAACGAGCAATAATTGACACAACAAATCAAAAAAGTATTTCCAAAATGCTGAACAAAAATATGATGGGTTAATAAGGTTAGTAATTTATTTCTAGAAGATGGGCACTTTGCCTCAATGTTTAAAATAGAAAACATTTGAGGTGCATGCAGTTTTGTAACCAGAATGGTTTACAGTAGAAGTTCGTAGAAATAAGGCAGGAGAAATAAAAAATAGTTATAAAATATTGTACAATTTCCTTTCAGACTAGGAAAAAGTCTGTTTCTCATATCATTGAAACATAAATTGGAGGATATGGAGGATGCAACCTTAGAAAAGGATGGAGGATGGACCTTAGAAATAAATTTTTGAGGTCTGTTCTGCAACAAACACATAACAAGCTGTAATTTTGATTGGAATGAGAAACTTTTTTTTACTGTAAATTATATTTAACTTGTTGTCATGGTGATGATAGGAATTTTCATCCAGATGAAGTAAGTCAACTGCGCTCTCACATGGCCAAATGTAATCATGTCGGCGGGCAGAAAAATGGAATCAATTTGTAATGCTGACCTTGGATATAAATTCAGTCTACTCCAATATAAATTATGGTTGTAAGGTACCGTACTTGTTTGATTGAAATGCACAGAAACCCAAAATTACATTTATAGTGTATGGACTTATTAAAATTACTTACGATTTTAAACACACACGCACATGTCATTTACGTATGCACTTGTATAATTAATAATAAAGGAAATACGGTATAATAATATGCAAATAAAGAAGAAATAAAAATCAATAAGCCTAACTAAAATGACCAGAAGTATATGGCATTGTAGCACCAAAAAAATCAATAAATAAACAAAAAAAACTTAACATGTAAAATTTTCATCTAAAAACCATATAATAATATGTACACTGTTCACCTGCAGCAATATAAAAACAATCATAAATAAAATTTAATCTTGAAAATCCATCTTGCAAATTAATTATATATTCGTGACAAAACGCGATCTATTACGCAATTCAGTCACATGGCAATATACTATAACTTCAGATATAGCAACTTATATTCACATAAAATTATCGGAATAAAATTAAAATGAAAGCAGAAGACAGACTAACAGTGCAAATGCTATCCCATAATACCATAGTGTTATCCCAGGGAGTGAATGCTTGCCATTTACAGAGATTATCATTATTCCCTAATGTCTTGTATACACATGTGACTATATTAATTAATAATCAAGCTAATTAAAAAATAAATTAATAATGTGTAGCTATATTAATAGCATTCACCGCTATAACAAACAATAATTTAATTGTTGTTAAATGCACTCATTTTTTTAAAATAAGGGAAAGATTTTATAGCATTATTCTACTCGGGTGGCCATTTTGTAAATTTCCAAAAACTAGTTCAGATACCTCAGTCACAGTGATTAAACTTCAGAATTCATACATCAAAAGATTTGTATCCACAGCTTTCATCATTAGTAACAATATATTACAGCGATCTATACTGAATTTTGTGTACACTTACACACATAATGCAGAATAATATATTTTCATAAATACTCAATGTGGGTATCATATCTAGAGCTAAAAGTACACACCTTCTTAAATATTTAAGTAGAAGAGATCGATTAATCAAAACTCTGTTGTCAACTCTTATAAATAGTATCTATTTATTAAAAAAAATTCTGTATTTTTCTAGCAGAAACACATTTCCAATAGAAGTGTACGTAACCAAAAATTGCATTTATATAATAGTATAATACGACCATAGACACACCTCTGTCATTTTCACAATAGCTTGCATTACTATAGAGAAAATATGGTACGCTATTTTCTGCATTTGAAACGCATGAAAACCAAAGCCGAGATTTATTGACCTTTGACTCGTGCCAGCTTTGAATATGGTAATTTAAAATGGCAACTAGGTCAGTGTTTCATGTTCAATAAGAATTGATCATGGATGAGCATCAAAACACGTAAAATATTTGCACAAAGGTTTAGGGGAAATGCAGAAAAGTGCAGGGCGTGGAATGGTTATACGCTATAACGTGGATAAATAGATTATGTTAATGTACAATAAACAGAAATATTTTAGGCTAATTGATTGAAATACCTGAGTTGTTACTAGGTCTGTTACTAAGGAGGAAAACTGCCTATATTCCACATGTATGTTATTTAATAGTCACTGTGCATTTAATAAAATTTAAACAGAGATAGTCGATAATAATTAAACTATGAAATACAGCTTAACAAATCTCAACACACATCAAATGTCAGAAGTTCACAGAATACAGATTTCTTGCGCATCTTCATGTACATTACATTCAAAGGGATTCAGTTGCTATGGCAACATTCAAATTTACTCAGTATACAAGATTCTCATGATTGTATTTTCCAACAAAGATTTATAATTGTAATACAGAAATCAGAGACATAGTCTAATAATGTTAGAATCTATTAAACTAAAAATTATTTTAGTATTCAAATTTTCTATTTTTTAATATATATATATATATATATATATAATTTAATTTTCTTGTAAAATGTATTTTTTTTTATCTATAGAGAATATGGGGTACATCAGTCACAAGACCAGATTTTCGATTTTATGAGTTATTACAAAGGGCAGACCATTCAACCAACCTCTGAGTTAGGATTGTTATTAAGAACAGGACTGGGTATCTAATATTCTAAATAACTTAAATGGTATTTATATCCTGTTCTTTAAGGTAATTCTACAATACATGCTTGATCAAATGTATGTAAAATATGACACAGAACAGTACACTTTATACCATATTGATATTAAGGCATGCAAACAGGACTTAATGATGTTAAATTTTAAATTCATATGTCCAGATTGTATATTGCCTATAATATTTACT